CCAGAATAACTGCTGTGCTCCGAGAACCGTTCGCGAGAACGTTCTGTTGTTCCTCTCCTTCCAGATGTTCCAACTAGCGGTTCATGTAAGAATGCTGCCACTGATACAGGATTTACATTGGCGGTAGGTTGAAGAAAACTGCTAGTATATCTTCATTGGAAATTCATAGTCATGTGCCAACATTTTTATTTCTATTAGCGTCTGTTCTCCATGAACAGCACTAGTGTACAAAATTCCAAGCGCATTTTCTAAAATTCAAATATGGCATGTTTCTCTACGCATAGCCTCGCTCCTTACTATCTCACCTACCATCACTTCTTACGTGGACCTGCTTATTACTATCTCACCAACACAACACTTCTTATGTAGATCGAGAGATGCAATTTTTTTCATATTTCACCTCTCTGAATTTTGTGGTTTGTGCTATGTATTTGAAACTTTAAATGAATTCAAATGAAAATGTTGGCAACTATAAAGTTGTAGATCTTGTTGAACACTACAAACATTAGTATATATAGAGCATATGCCTTCATCCGACATAGTTTAAGAATATTTTAAAAGCCTGAATTTAGAAATCTAGAAACTTATAGTAAATTTCTGGGCACCTAATAATGTCTAACAAAAAAGTTAACTCCAAAGTTTTAATCGTTTCGATCCATACAATTTATGATAAAAAAGTCTCTTCATTTCAGTTCATGTTGAAATTATTGACAAGATATATTCCTAGACATTTGATTCCAATCTTAATCAATCATCTCTGTAAATTTTTGACTAAAAATGGCCCTATTTGTAGTGTCATCTTCTTAAGAGAAAAAGATCTAAAAAAATATCATTTTTAGAGGTAGTTGGTTAAGATGACCAACTCTTGAAATAATATAACTATTTTTAGAGGTGGCTATTTTATGGGAACCATCTCAATAAATTGATTTTTAGGTGCTCGTAGGCATATAGTTGAGTGGATTATCGATTATCTTTGAAGCCTAGTACGCTAGCCCCATTTGTTTTGTTTTATCCTTGGTTCGTTGCTTTTATTTATCCAAATCCAAACTGCAGATGACAAACTCCAGCAGTGCACTCCATGTTCATTAGTACTTTTGTATCTAAATTCTGAAGAACAGATAGCAATTTCATGGCCAGTGGAACGAACTTGTATCCTGCCCTCAAGTACAGGCATCTCGCAATGTACACCTAGACTTCCAGCACTGTATCTAATAATTAATAACCGGGAGAAAATATAAACAGATACTATCACTGGCAACATTATTGATGTCTGTGTGACAAAAACCCTATCGTTACGGAAGGTGCATCTCTAAATAAACACTTGTGAGTAAGAGCAAAAAAAAACATCATTGATTTAATGATGAGTTCATTTTCATCATAAACAATTATGACATTCAAAATCATCATAAAAATTGTCATAAGACATTGACTAGGTCACTGTCACTTGGATGAACACGTCGCAATTGATGGGGCAGCTGACAGCGTTATGATAAATTTTATGGTCATAATTCTGTTAGGGCTGATTTCAGAGAATATGTTATTTGGGCTTGCCCACCAAAATTTTGATTTGGACTAATCTATGAGCTGATGTGGTTTGGGTGTAGCCCAACTTAAGGCCCATTTTGGTTTGGGCCCAACTAAAGGCCTAGGGAATTCTGAGATGGAACAGTAAGATAGTAGTGGATTGATCAGGATTGGATGAGGCACTCAAGCTGATCAACAACTACTAGGGATGGAAGACCATCATCCCTTCGTGGCCGGGGAATGAATTAGAGCTCTAAAAAAATTATTGCGACACCTTAACCTAGCAAGTTCCTAGTCAACCCATCACGCTCAAGTAACACACACAGGACGAGGATCAACACCGAAGAAGAAATGGAGAAACAACTCAACGCCCACAATACATCGCCATTCGCCTCGCTAGAAATCAAAGATGTCATGGTTTAGATACAAGCTATGACTTGGCATATCATGGATGACACAAATATTACATTACAACTTGTTGCACAAAATTCCTTTTGGGTGCAGACACTTGCGATACTTACTCTGTGGTGCTAATGGAATCAACGGAACGCGGTAATCTCCAGAGAGCATCGGAAACTGCGCAAGCTGTGTTTATAGAAATAAAGGACACGGCATACTGTTGGTCAGTAGCAGGAGGATCATTCCACAAACCCTTAAGGCCACGTTCGTTTGAAGGGGAATGACTGCTGGGAAATATTCTAGGGCGGACTCATTATGTAATTTGAATAAGCTTCAGTGAACAGGAATGGTTCCTGGCCCGGATTCAGTTGAACCGAACGAGCCATAATGGTTGCTCATCTAGAAAGCGAGTAGTCAGTCTGTAATCCATCCCTACGCAGTCTAGGCTGATGTAGGAAGCACTTCTCGCGCATGTAAACTGTTGTCTGCTATTCCCTCTTATTAATCAAAGCCGGCTAATGCCGGATCTTTTTCTCGAACATGCCGTGTAGCACGTATTTCATTAAGAGGAAGTAGACAACACCGAACCAAACAACAAACGGCTCAACACTAGGTAACCAAAGGTTTCCCAGGCGAGGAGAAAGAAGAAAAACAGAAGCGAAAAAACTAAAGAAAACTACGACGAAGCCCGGCTAGTACCACAAGAGGGACTAAAAGCAACAACGGGCTAAGCTACAGCGAGCTAGTAAACTAGGCCATGGGCAGCGATTGGGCGACCTAGAGCGGGTACCCAGAGGTAGACTAAACCTCGAGTTCAACCCCTCCACCGGTGGATCCGTCAGCAATAGCGAACCGGACCGGGAAGCATCCTAATTGCCTCGCGCTTGGACTCCGAGAGAGGCTCGTAAAAACGGCCATGTACTTATCGAAATCGCCCTCCGATCATTCTGCGGCGCTGATCCTGCTGGTGGAGTCCCCATTTTGCCATCACACGCGTCCGGGCTTGTTGCGGTCGGGTTGGAGGCTCTCCGCATCTGCTCTTGGCGCAAGCCTCCCGCCACTGACGTGGCGGTGAGGATGTGCATTCAACCGCATGACGCCTCCTAGGAACACGGAGGCGTGGAGGTTCGACCAAGATCGGCTCCATGATGGTAGAGGAAAGCTGCGACCATAGATCTTGCGAGATGTCACTTTCGGTGACACGGAGCCGGTGCCACAACCGCCGCCGCGCCCATGGGCGACAAGACCATAGGCGGGAAGTAACTCTCGACGGCGTCCTGCATGGTCCGAAAGTGCTCCTCGTCTCAAAGAAGGCCGGCCGAGAGCGAGACGGCCGGCAAAAAGCGCCGCCGGAGGGAGCGACCCTCCAGTTGGGACCCCCACCCCAAGGGCTCCTCCAAGGCGGCCAGCTGCGGGTCGAACTCTTTGGGGCGATGGAGGCTACAAACTCCTCGAGCATCGGGTCATCCGTGGAGTCGCGAGCAGGAGCATGTCGTGATGCCAAACCAGCAGTGTCAACAGGTCAACCCAAGGAAGGCATGGCAACAAACTCGTGCCGATGACGATAGGTCGCCGGCGGAAGGCGTCGAGTGGAGAGGGCGTTGGTGCCTTCTTGTGGTGCGTCTTGGCGTCTCTCGCGTCGGCGGCGCCGACGGCCTCGCGCCAGGCAGTCCCTGAGCGGCACAAGCACAGCCCACCCGACTCCGACCGGACCGAGAGCAGTGGCTGCGGTCGACGACCAAACTGCGGGCCCAAGCGGCGACGCTGTCGGCTCCACCGGCACCTCCGGGGAGAGGCTCGTCATGGACGCTTACGAGCACGGGCAGTGGCCCAAACCATTGCAGCGTAAGGCACCGGCATGGGAGGCGGCATGTCGCTGCCGCGGTGTTTCTAGGACGAGCAATTGAGACACCGGCCCCGGGCTGCCTTGCCACCCCTCACGTACAACACCCGACGCTCGCTTGCCACCCCTCGGCGTCTGGAGCTGATCTTGCGGCGGCAACGTCCCGGCCGTTGTGCGCAATGAGCACGTTAGAACAGGGTCCGGCCGATCAATGTCGCTGGGCTCCTCGCCACCCGATCGATTATGGGTTTTGCGCGCGCATCCCGGCGGCGGAGCTTTGCCGACGGCGTCGGCGATGACGCCACGGGCGGCGTACCCTCGTCGCTCGCTCCACCGCGCGCCGTCCGATGGGGCTACAGCTAGCAGCATGGCAGCGTCGATCGCGCTGGTGCCGCAACATCCAGCGGACATGCCGGAGCAGTTGGGGTAGCAGTTAGCGCCATCGAGCGGCCTCCAGGTACGACGAAGGAGAGCAATCGCCGATCGAGACGTCGGAGAGTAGATCTTCATCATCTCATCGCCCACCGACGGAGCTTTGACCTCCCCATCGAGCCGCGTGCCGGGTGGAAAGGAAGGGCCGAGGGAAAAGCGCGCATAACGCTATGCTGGGACGGCGATGATGAGGGCACCGCCAGCAAAGTTGGACGTCTTTCTGACCTGGGGCAGGCTGGGAGAGGGTGGGCGCCAGACCCGGAGCGGGCGCCGGCGCAGGGCGGTGGACGCCAAACCCGGAACAGGCGCCGGCGCAGCTGCTGCCCGTGTGCGAGCCATGCTCGGACGGAGGCGCTGGTGACCCGAGCGGAGAACGGGTAGGAGCATCGGAGGCTCCGAACTCGCCGAAACCTGGGAGAGGGGTGGAGAGTGACCTACCAAAGGATAGATCGGGCGACGGTGATGACGAATCTGGGTGTTGATGGGGAGTAGCGGCTGGGGAAGGAGCGGATCTGGGCGGATTGGGTTGTGGCGGCTCGAGGAGGACGGAGGAGAGGGACGGGTCGGGGGGTCAGGGTCGTCCACTTTTTTTTTTTTGAATGCCGGATCTTTCAAAAAAAAATACTATGCACTACCTTATCAGTCATGCAAAGGTGCGCTTGCTTTCTGTATAAATATAAGGACAACTATACATACCAGTGTGCACATAGATCTGTCTACTTCATGCTGATAATAAAAAATGGAGGCTTCCAGGGCAAGATCTCTGTCTCTGTTTTGTATGTTAAACTTGTATGCAAGAGATTTACCGCAAATCATCATTCACCAGCCCATTTGCATGCAATTGAAGTGCACAGTTGCTAGTATTGAGCAGGATGGCTGAATTATAACAGGAACTGGCGTGTCCCAACTCAGTAGAAGTGTGCTTTCCTTGTTGATCCGTCAGCAATAGAGAATCCTTTGATGCCTCCATTGCTGGACGCTCTTGAATACTTATTGGATTCTCCAAAGTCACATGGTTTGGAAGAAAATCCATTTCATTGCCGAGTCCAGAATTGTTGCAGGTGGAAAGGGGGATGTCACCGACACATGGTCCTGAATTGTTCAGTAGCTGGCCTTGGATGACAACCTCCTCAAGTCCTGATTTCTTTGGTGAAACAACCAGATTGTCTGTAGGACCATCAACCACAAGATCATCAATACTAATGAAAGGCAAAACATTCGGCCTGTTAGGGTGGTTCCATGCTGCTGCTTCCCATTCTTGTCTTGTGTGCTTACTGAGTTTAGGATGAAGTTCAATTTCCTGGAGCATTCTGAGGTGTCTAATTTCAATTCCGGAAGGGGCAGCTAAATTCATAGAGGGGACCTGAAGTGAGACAAGTTCCGGCAGAGCGCCCTCTTCGATTTTTGGGAGCACTGGGTTCTGATGTTGCAAAACAAAGCGCAATCGTCTCAGACTTTGGAATGCCCCAGCTGTAATGATGAAATCCTTAATCTCATCAGTGATCAGTGTGAGGTAAAGCAAAAAGGGCATTGCACTCAAGGATAACAGCAGACCACGTGCCATAGTGGCAGACGAAAGGCAGAGCTTAGTGAGACCTGAAACTATGGCAACAAACTCGTGCGATGTTGATAGGTCGCCATATAGTTTCAGCGAGCTGAGGTAATATTTTTCTTGTAGTGACATGCTTTCATTGTACAGATCTTGCAGAGCATGCAGGGTTCCATCAGGCAGTCCCTGAAAGTCAATTGACATGGAACGAACACATCCAGCACCCAAAGGAGCTCTGGTGTACTGGCGAATGGCCTTCACCAGATCATTATTGAAATCACTGAAGTCGTCTATGACTTCTGTTGACTCAAACCAAATCTTAACTTTTCTCAGGTTCTTCATATGGAGCGTGAGATGCAGCAATCCTTGTAACTGCCCTGTATCGACAACCAATCCTGCCAGGGTCTCCATCTTACTGTTTCTGCACAGTTCTTCCAGTTCATTACTTTTAGACTGTCGCTCTTGTTCACTACTTGATTTTCAATCTTGATCCAAAAGTTTAAACTTTCCAATGAGATTAGTTAAACAGGGCAGCCCTATGACTTCCACAGGCAACGTAGTCACCACCGTTTTGCTCAGAGCAAGTGTCTCCAAAAGTTTGAGCTTTGCAATTTCCTTTGGAAGCCTTGTAATATCGTGGCTAAGACTTAGGTATCTCAGATTCCACAGCTTGCATATCTTCTTGAGATGGCTATCTTTCATGTCAGTGCATTCTTCAAGATCCAACACTCTGATCAGTTTATACTTGCCAAAATCAGAAATAGAACAACCTGCACTACGACGAACTGTCAGAGACCGTACACGAGATAAGTCCATGTTCCAGGTTTCTGTGGAATTTGTGTCACTACCAACATCACCATGGACAAAGATGTGACGAACTATTTTGTCCCTTGAAGAGCACATGATGAATTTCTCACACATGGACCTATGCAACAGGAATTCATGTATGATGGCATGCGCTTTGCATGTTTTCACCTCTGCATTTTTACTTATTTTAACAGGAAGGATAATATTCCGGTCAATGAATGTCTTCAAATTTCCATTTGCTACACTCTGTTCACTCAATGTAATGTCTTCGCTTCTTGCATATCCTTCAGCCATCCATCGCCTGATTATGACGTTCTTCCTGAGAGGGCGGTCGATTGGGAATATACCAAGATATAGCAAACATGTCCTGACAGTAAGGTCAGACAGACTGGTATAATTCTCTATAAGCACATCACGGAGCCTTGCAAAGTTAGGCTCACCATCTTCTCGCTCAAGATAAGAACCCGGCTTGCTGCATAACACTGAGCAGAATTTCCCCGTAGGTTCATCTTCACTGCTTAATTACCTGGCCACACTGACAAGAGCAAGCGGAAGGCCATCACATTTCTTCAAAAGTGTCTCCGAACCCTGCACCAACTCAGCTGCACTTCTTCCACGAAGAGCAATTGTCATAGAATCCTTCATTCCAAGAGTTCTCATTTTGTACACACAACCATTAGTATCACTTCGTCTATTAGCGGTAGGCCGAAAGGTTGTGGTCACCATAATTCTGCTGCCTTCACCATTTCCTTCAAATGCTGATGTTATAGTATCCCACTGTCCCTCCTCGATGTCATCGACATCATCAATAACAATCAAATACCTAACAGAAGAAATTAAATGAGAATCAGTTCTTCTGATATGGCCTTTAGTTTGCACGAGTGTTAGAACCCAACAATTGCAGACCAGAAACCACACAGAAATGAAATTTTGAGAAATTATAGTTCTTCGAGGAATGACAGTTTTTGCAGACACTATATTTTTATCTATCCAAATACCCAATGTCTTAATAAAATGCATATACTCACTGGCGGCATTGTCAAGACATGCAAGTCAAACAGGGAAGTGTTGTTTCCAGTAGCAAACAGGTTTTAACATGTAAGAATCTGCCCTTGGGACAGGACCAACAATTATAAACAGTTGCTATCTCCCATAGGCTAAGGAACAGAAGTAGAAATCCTCCCTGGGAGGGCTCACGGTGGATTAGATAGTTAGTGAGCAAATAGCTCACTAACAATTATCAGCAGCTGGTCTTTTTTTTTTTTGAAAGATCCAGTTACTCGGCTTGTCATTGATAAGAAAAAAAGTTTTCGGGGTCCAGGTGACCCCCCTTACAAGCTACCTCGGATGGAGAAACGACCAAAACGAAAGTCGTAGATCTTGAAAAGTTATAAAACTTTATAGATGACAACTTGTTCATTTGAATTTATTTAGGTTCCCAAATACTTATTTCAAAATCAGATGAACATAAAATTGGGACGACGAATATCCCTAGACAAGTGTCTTATGGGTGGAGTCGTTATGGGATGAACACGCGAAGATTGAGGTCATGGATTCGAGCACCAGTAAGGATGGCAAAGGGGCGGGTCTAGACCCGAAACCCGCGGGTTTTGTACCCGACGGGGTCAGGTTTTGAGTCTCCCCCCGAGGGTGCCCGTCGGGGACCTGAAGTTTTAAGCAGTCCGGTAAAAAAGGCCCACCAAAGCCAGCCCAAGTAACCTGTAACCCTAGCAATCGACTCCTCCTCTCCCCACTCCCCTACCGCAAGCCGCACCTGCACTGTGACTCCGCGTCACGGGCTCCCGGCGTCCGCGACTCCACCCCAGCGTCCCGCGTCCGTGACACCACGTCCCGCCGTCCGCGACTCTGCCCCCGCATCTGCGACACCGCCGTGTCCGTGACTCTGCATCTCCGCGCCTGCATCCGCGAGCGCGACTCCGCTCCGCCCCTGCCCTCCATTCCAGCTCGTTCGTCCCCTCCCATCGAGCGGAACTGCGGCAGGCTACTAGGGCGGCACCGGCGCACAACGGTAGGTGGCTAGGCGGCACCAACGCACCACGAGCCCGCATTTCTTCCACCTCGCTGTCACACCGCTTCTTCCACCTCGCTGTCATGCCAAAGCCGCGACCCGTGACCTCGTTCCGTAGCCACAATCCCATCCTGTTGTAAGTTTCCTGGGTCTCGGGTTCCCCGTCGGGTTTTGGGTCCCCGTCGGGTTCGGGGGCATGGCGGATCTTCCCCGGAAACAGGGTTCGGGGCGGGTTCGGTTTCCTTCTTGGGTTTCGGGTCCGCGGATGCTCCACCCGCCCCGAACCCGACCCGTTGCCATCCTTAAGCACCGGTGGTCGCAAAAAGTGCAAAAAAAATGTGTGACTTGCGTGTGGCTGTACAGTGGGGTATCCCGGTATTAAAAAACTTTTTGCTATTTTTTTTGAGCCCGAGTTTGATTTTCTGGGAAACCTCGTCACTACAAGAAATTCATAGCTTACGGATGGTTTTATTGAGTCAACCATCCATAAAAACCATTTCTAGGGGAATTTGACTTAGTCAACAACCGTTTCATATATTTAAAAACACATAAAATTAATAAACTGCAACAAAAAAATAGAAAAAAAATTCACTCGCAGTTGGGGCTGTTGCAGCACAAGTGCCTTTTCGTGAAGCACCTCTAAAAGTCAATTTTCATGGTTGGCCATAGAAATACCCCCATTTTCTGGGGTGATTGACATAACGAAGCCGCCCTAAAACTTGTAGATTTCTAGAGGTGGTTTAATTATGTCAGCCATCCCCAGAAATCGTTTTTTAGGATCGGTTCATAAGCTGTAGTGTAGTCCTGCCAATATGTAGTTGTCCTTTTTACGTTTATATAACCAATCATATTATTCAATATGTGTAGAATTTTATTACCAAATTTATTAAAAAGATTGTGTGAATTTTTTATGATGCCAACTCTGTATTCTTAATTGTATTGTGGAACAAAGTTAATTACCTATATTATACTTTAATTTTATAATGGCTTTGGTGAAAAATACACAAATAGGCATAAGGGCAATTTGATTTATTTTCAGTTAATGTGGTAATTTTGATGATCAAAATTAACGTAATGGAGGCTTCTTTATTTTGTTGATCAAATATTAACATAAATGATCTCTTCTCTTTCTCTGACTTATTGCAAAAACTGATTCTGCAAAATTGATGAGAACTTAACAGAGCCCAGATGGAGATATCATTGACTGTGTGCACATCTCCAAACAGCCTGCATTTGATCATCCTTTCCTCAAGAACCATACTATCCAGGTTCATCTCTTTATAGCACCATTTACCTTTTGGTTTAAGTGTTGTGCATGTTACGCCTACCTTATCGTGATATGTATATATCATGATATGACTCAAATGGTGCTCTATGGTCACCCTTGAGATGAGGCCGGCCTCTTGCCACCCAGAAGGCCTCAATAACAAGTCAAACATTGCATCCAATCCTTTCACCCAAACATGGCATCAAAATGGCAAGTCCCAGAGAACACCATACCAATCCGAAGGACCAAAGAAGAGGATGTCCTGACGGTGAGTTCCATTGAGAGATATGGCAAGAAGTGGCCTTGGAGCATCCCAAACCGTTTTTCCATTGATGACCCTGACACGGCGAACGTATTAAGAGGCCACCAGGTACAAAATGTCCACCTAGAATCACATTCATAGTACTACTAATAATAATCTTCTTTCTGGGTTGTTGCTATTATCTCTGAAATTTCTCATTTAATTTTATTATTTTCTCTCCCATTGTGCAGCACGCCATAGCATCCGCATCGGAGGATGAGAACTACTATGGTACTCAAGGAACCTTCAATTTGTGGGAACCAATTGTTGAGAGGGACAATGGATTCAGCTTGGCCCAGTTCTGGATTAGTAGTGGGTCCTACTCAAACAACGACCTCAATACTATAGAAGCAGGATGGCAGATGAGTCTTGTTATGAAAAAGAAATGAGACGGTATGTCTAAACGAACTCAGTTGATTACAACCAATGAGATGAGACAAACAAGTAGTAGCTCTGTTAATTTCTCAACAATTTAAAATAAGGTTCGATGGCCATTTCACATATTGGTTGACTTGTTGCGAGACTTCACGCTATACCTTGATGATCTCAATGGAAAAAGAAGACAGAACAGCAACACTAAGATCATCCTGCCAGTTTTGTTTGCTTCACCAAATGACAACCTCAAATTCTCTGTCCTCTTTTGCCACCTGACAAAATAAATCTTCGACGGCCCAGCTAGCTTACAATTCCTTCAGTCATTATTACTAGTACTTGACAATTCATACAATAAAATAAATTGTATGCCAATTTAGCTGTTTAAAAGTTCAAGAGAACTGACAGAGTTGGTAGATGATAACATCGTACTATTATGTAAGACATAGGTATTCTGTAGAGGTGTAGTTAGCTGTGAAATATCTTTCGATATTGCTAATGTACATATGTTTTCTGCAAATTGTAGGTTTACCCTGGTCTGTATAAGGATAGACACACAAGACTCTTCATCTACTGGACTGTAAGATAAACATTATAGTGTTTTTTATCATCATTTTTATATTGGTCCTTTTTTTGTAAGGTCAGAAATTGCATAATAATGAACTAATTCTTTTATTAATTTGGAATATTGTAACGGGATGCGTACAACAAAACAGGATGTTACAATCTACTATGCTCAGGGTTTATACAGACAAGCAACCAGATTGCCATCGGTGCTAGCAACTCCTATCTGTCCCCTGTCTCCATCTATGGTGGCTCACAATATCATCATCAACAACAACAACAACATAGCCTTTCAGTCCCAAGCAAGTTGGGGTAGTCTAGAGTTGAAACCCACCAAGAGCCCTAAGTCACAAAAGGCACTTCAATAGCTGCTTTCCAAATACTCCTTGTAACACCCTAAAATTTGCTTCTTTTTGAAATAGAGATGATTTTTTTGATTTAATTCTGTATTTTTGTGCTCATGAAAATATAGGAAAATAAAAATTTTCGTTAAATTAAAAGTTATCATAAGGTTGCAACATGTTTGTGCATACATGCTGTTGCAATGGAGTTTTTGTGCTAAGTGGTTTGATTCAAAATTCAAAAGGAATTCAAAAATTCATTTGAAAAAATGCTTTGGAATAAAAAAAAAGAAGAAAAAACTCTCTCTCTCTCTACGGCCCGTGGCATGAGCAGCCCAAAATGAGCAAAGCGGCCCATCTACTCTCTTTCCCCGTCGGCCTTTTCCCCTCCCCCACGCCTCCGCTCTCGGCCCGCTCCCATCTTCCCCGCGGCCTGCTCCGTCTCCCTACTATTTTGGTGCAGTTCCCAGCGTCACCGCCTGGCCACCTGCCCCGCCCACGTCAGGGCCTCGTCGCCGCCGCGCCGCTTCCCCTCTCTCCCGTGCTTCTCCTGTCGCTGACTTGTGGGACCCACCTGTCAGCGTCCTCTCCATCTTCTACTTTGCGCCGTGTTGAGATTCGCGGGACTCTTTGCCGCCAGCGCCGTCGTTGTTGTGTGCGTCAAGCTTCCCTGCCTCTTAAATAGTAGCGAGCCCCCGCACCGCATCATGCCCCCCATCGAGCCCTAAGCGTAGCGCCGCCTTTGTTCTAGCATAACGCCGCCAGTAGCCCTAGCCGCCCGCCGCCGAGCACAAGTTGTCGAGCGCGCGCCTCCGTCCGCCGCCGCTCCGTGCCTCGGTAAGATGCCTAATCGAGTTCACCATCTTCTCCTTTACCTCCCGGTGTTTTTCTCGCTTCGAATCATGGCTCATAGGCTGATTCCCGTGAACTCCGGCGAGGTCTCGTCGTCTCCGGCCGTGGAGCCGTCGTTGGTTTCCTGTGTGCAGTGACCTCTCTCCCTCTTTTCTGTCTCAACCGTCCACTCTCGATCCGATGGCCCAGATTCACCCGTACCGGTTCGGCCAGTCATTTTTGCATAAGAGCCCCTGCAGTTTCGCGTAATAGAACCCATAGTCCATAGCGTGTTTCTGAAATACGTTTTGCTTTTCTGAAAGTGTAGTCTACTTCTAGCAGATTTAAAATACGTTTTCTCTTTCAGAAAGCGTAGAATTCCTCTGTTAGATTCAAAATATGTTTTCTTCTTTTGAAAACGTAGTTGTTTTGGTTATATCCAAAATACGCTTTCATCTATTTACAGATTTTCCACTGATCTTATTTTAGCCATAAAATCTTCGTTTTAACTCCGATTTGATCTGTTCAAGTTGCGTTAGATTCATAATTGCGTACATATGATTGTCCCACATGAACAATGGCATCTTCTAGAACTCCCTTGGGGTAGCAAAGTGACTCATCTACAAGCGGCAAACGCATATTTGTGTACAACAAAGTATCTCCATTAATTTGATAAAAAATTACCTTAGGCATGATGTTGACACTTGCTCCAAAGTCACAGACAACTTCTTGAAAAATGTGAGGTCCAATGACGATGGGGATGATAGGTCTTCCTGGATCGCTCTTCTTTTCCGGCAAGGTATAATCTATCCACCTTCCCGACGATGGTTGTATACAGTAGTATGCTGCAATGTGAATATCGACAAAATTTGCAGTTTCTAGATCTTCCAGTTGTCCTGAAATCTTACCTTCGTCGGACGGAGGAACAACAGTCGCCAGCTGAGTTATTTGTGATTCTACCATTTTATTAAAGATATGCTGGTTCTTAATGGTAGAAGCAAAACTATCAATTCTATTATTTATGTTATCTAGAATTTTACCATTGGTAACTACCTTTCTAGATAATCCCCCATTAGTTTGGATTGGCCAACAATTAATTCTCTCAAGGATAGTTAATTAAAATTATTAAAAATTATTACCTTGATAGTTACCTTGGAAGTTCGGCCTTTGTCGCTGATTCCATCCTTGATTCTATTGAGGACGAGAGTAGTTGTTGTTGATAAAGTTCACATCCTCTTGGGTCTAGGGCCATTGCTCCCTGAATGCCTAGTGTTTCCA